CTTTGCCCAAAAACCCATCACAAAAGAACATGTTGGTTTTGCAAGAAGTGTGTGACAATGAGAGCTCCCTTTGTTATTCTTTTGGGCGAGTGGAACAGTTTCCTTGTAAGAAACTCACTGCGTGAGGGAACTGCGCAAAGCGGGTGCGAGATTCAAGCGACCCTTTAACCACTTGCGCCATTTAAGCGGGACCCGATTCGCTCTCAGTGGCTCCTCGGGATCCACCTCCCGGGCCAGCTGGGCATGGCAGACGCTGGCGCCCTTAACCGCAAGCGACAAGCTCTCCCGGCTGACCTTGGTCGGTCCATCTTGCGTTCCGTTTCTCTATGTCGATGGCTGTTGTTAAAGCGGTCCGGCTTTTGGTTGGCCTGAGCTATTCTTTCTTTCTTTGCGGCGTTCCTCGGCGTTTGTCTGGTTTCGTGCTTTCGCGCCTACTACTGTTTCGCTGGCAGTGTGCTTCCCGTAGGTGTTCTTGTGCGCTGGAGAAACATCACCCTCGGACAATCAAACACTTCTAGTCCTGAGAGAGCGAGAGAGAGAGAGAGAGAGAGAGAGAGAGAGAGAGAGAGAGAGAGAGAGAGAGAGAGAGAGAGAGAGAGAGAGAGAGAGCGAGAGAGACTGTCAACACACTTGTGCGCCAACAAGGAACACTCTTGCGCGCCGACGGCGGGCACGCGTTGGCACCAACAGTGAACAATTTTACGCGCCGACGGCGAACACACTTAGGCACCAACGAGGAACACTCTAGCGCGCCCACGGTGGACACGCCTGTGCGCCGACGACGGGCACTTTTGCGCGCCGACAATGAATACGCTTGTGCACCAACAAAGAACACTCTTGCGCGCCGGCCGTGAGCATGCTTGCGTGCCAACAAGGAACACTCTTGTGGGACACAAATAATCTCTCTGCGCAATGCTTGGCACGGCATCTCGCAAGCGTCTATCCCGGAAAAGGCGCAGGCCATGAAAGCTGTTGCTTCCCGGTATGCTTTGGGAGCTTTGGGACACTAAGAAAAATGGCATGAGCTCAGCTTCTACAGTGCTCGTTCGGTGAACCCACCAGGGCTCGTATCCCTGCAACTACACAGTGAATATACTGTTGCTGGGCTGTCACGTCTCCGGCACACTTCAACAAACAGACATGAAGCACCTTGAGCGCCGCAAACGCTGCAACATGGATACACTTATAAGCCAAGCGCCGACGGTGAACGCGATTGTGCGAGGATGGCGAGCATGCCGCCCGGCGGTCTGGCAGCACTGGGAGGCAAATGGCCCGGCGATCTGCGAGCACTGGGAAACACGTCGCATACTGGGGACAAGTACATGCGCACACTGGCGAGCATGCGGCCTAGCAATCTGGCAGATCTGGTACACCGGCGAGCATGCTGCCCGGCAATCTGGCAGCATGCGGCCCGTTTTAGGTGGCAGCGCCTCCTGGCGGCCGTGCGTTTTTGGACCTTGGGGGGGCGGGGGGTGGGGATGATAACAATCGAAAGGACTTGCACACAGCTCATCGGCAAGTTTTGCACGTGCATGTGCGTGAAGACACGCGACAGCGCAGGCTACGTTAACACGCCTGCGATCATGCACTATGTGTTTGCATGGCTGTGGAGACGTAAGCAAACCACACAGTTGTACAAGGGTCTGGGTGTGCTTTGCGGAAAACCCCGCTGAAAACGTTGAGCACGGAGGACTGGCCGAAAAAAAAGGTGCACACGAAACCTCTGAAAACCACTTGTGAGCTGACAGTTCCACACTTTTGAAGTGTTCAAAACAGCATGACCAAACATTTCCTGTCAAAAAGGCTGTGTTTTCGCAGTGCTGCGTCATGAAGCCGCGTTGAAGCCCTGTGTTGCCTGCACGGTTTCCTCAAGGCGCCAGCACCCGGTTTAGAAGGGTAAGAACCCCAACAGTAAACTGTTTGGGGAAAAAGAGAAGAGAAGAGAAAGAGAAGAACAAGAGAAGAGAAAGAGAAGAGAAAGAGAAGAGAGAGGAGAAAGAGAAGAGAGAGGAGAATGGAGAGGAGAATGGAGAAATAGGAGAGAGGGAACAGATCGAAGAGAGAGAAGAATAAGAGAAGAGAGAGGAGAAAGAAGAGGGAGAAGGTAGAGAAGAGACCCAGAGGCGGATACCTCTATTCCACCTTTTAAGGAGCCCAGAAGGGAAGCCCTGATCAAAAGTGGATACCATGCTTGAAAAGTGTGCTACGAGTTGGATCCAACTTTTGACCTGGGAGGCACGCACGGAAACTCGGATGGGCCGACCGACTCGCACCTTGCATTGGACATCCTCACGCTTGGTGGTCGCATCGACCACAACTTTCACGGTGATGTCCTCTTCCGACTGAGCCCACTCATAGGGCTCCTTGGGCTCCTTGGGCTCCGGCAAGGACTCCTTGGACTGATCCGGGCTCCGGCGAGGTGTTTCAAAAAGATGGACCCTCCACGCGTGTTTCAGATTGCATGGGCGTGGGACACCAAACGTGTCGATGCCGGGAATTGGGAGTTGCTGCACGTATCACGTAGCAATCAATCCGGCCTTGCTGGCTCGTTTGGGGGTATTATGTTTGGTGGATGCTCACAGGTTGGCTGGCTGGCTTAATTTTATGCAGAGGCACTGCTCACAGCTGGTGCTTTGGAACTTCGTGGTTCCAACCCTCTAACAAGATGCCGTCTGTACCGTCTAAATGGGTCTCGGACAATCCCAAGGTGAAGGTGGCTAGTTGGTGTCCTGGTTTCCTTTCAAAACGACGCATTGAGGGAGTTCAGCCTGGTGGTTCCTGTCGGCTGTTCAAAACCACAGGGGATACCCCGCTTTTCAGACACGAACATCGTGTATGACTTCAAACAAGGCTGATTCAACTTACAGGCCTCAAACAAAAGTCCTATAATCAGCATCACACAAAGCCATTCCTGTGGTGCTCCTGCATTCTTCCACAGACCCTTCCCTGCATGCGTGGCAATCGCGCCAGTCTGCCCCATGATGAATGAGCTCATGCGATTATCGTGTTTGCTGAGCTCATTTCTGTTGGCTTCCCAAAATTGCAATGGCATTGGAATGGGGTGGGGATGAGGCAGGACTGGTGCGTACAGGAACGCTGTTGGGGGGGCTTAGGACTACAGGGGGTCATTGAGGCTGGAGTGGCTCAGATTTGGCGTGAAGAGTTGTTGATTCATGGATTCACCTGAAAGCTATCAGCCCAGAAGGTGCTGTGGAAAGCATTGTTCGACCCATCTTGGAGCTTCAAGCCTCCAAACCAGCCATTGAAGAGACCTCATTTCAAGAGACCTCAGCTGTTCAATACAAACAGCCTCAAATTCTGGGGACATGGATCCAGCCAGCCCACAGGATTCGCAGTGAAGTCTTGCAAATGGGTGTCTCCCAAAATGTAAGTAAACACCTTGAAACTCAGATCTTGTTGGGACGCGTGCTTGTTGCCTTCGCCGCTTCTGTGCAGCGCCTGTGAAACAAAAAGGCTGACGACGCCCTCACCTCCAAAAGGGTCAAGAGATGCTAGAGCCACAGTCAAACTTACTTGTTTCCACGAGAAGACGTTTGAGAAATAGTGAGCCCCCACTTGGTCTGAAATTCAGTCAGTGCCCCGTGTCCCGTGTCCCTCTCAAAATGACCGACGGGCGCTGAGCCTTTTCTCAAACAAAAAGCCCCGGCCTCCGCCATCAGCACATTACAATGGATTGCAAGCCTACTGATCTTGTCCGGTGGCCTAAAGTTTGATCGACCCAAGACCCGCATATACGCAAGCCGCTGCTGAATCCATCCGTGCCAAATAAAATGCGCACTTTTACTCAAGAGAGTCAGGCAGCCTGCAATGCTAACAACCAGCTTGCATGTCCACAAGTGATGGGGCAAGTGACAATCGAACATGAGCCGCATGGTGCGCCAGTGTCCACTGCGTCTGAGCCGAAAAACGGCCCTCTCAGCATTGAACCTGGTAGATGCTGATCAAAACCTGTCTGCAGTCGAGTGCCACAAAATGAATGCTCAGCCACAACTCTGCTGGCTCTGCTAGAGAAGAATGGATTTTGCAAATAGGGAGCCCTCAAGATGATGTATGGTTCTTGTTTGCCATACAAACCATCTAAACTGGGGGTCCGGTTCCAATTTCCAAACACCCTCGAAACAGTTTTTTGCAGTGGGTCCGTGAATCGTTTAGTTTTTTCCGGCTTCAAAAACACGCAGTAAGGTAGGAGGAATGGGTTACAGTTAGGAGCTGGCAAGCCGGAGAGGTAGTGACAGCCCATGATTGGCTCGTGTCATTCCCAAAACGGCCGGTCCCCTCCGGCTCCGCTCAAATATCCTCGAACGTGGCACGAGACAAACATCTTTTGACTGCAGATTTGCTCGGTTCAACGAAAGTATGTCGACCCTCCAACATGATTGCCATTGGGCGAGTGGAGGGAGGCTGTGCCTCGAGGTCTTCAAAGTTGGGCGTCCCTTTGTTGAGGATGCCTTGATTATTTGCTCTTTAAAACGATACCCATGTGTTTTCACCCATGTGGCCACCGTGTTGAGACAAACCCGATTTCCGAGCGAGCAGCCGCGTGTCGTGCTTGGTTGGAATGTCCAACCATCAAAAGATGCCGACACCAGATCGACATGGTACAACATGTGTGTCTCAAATGACCGATCACCTTTGCGTTACCAACATGTCCTTTGCGGGCGCAAGGGTTGGGTCCCCGGAGAGGGTCTCCAAGTTTAGAGATAACTTAGATCAGGTCTAAGGTGGCCACCGCCCCAAACCCGGGCCCGAGGGGAAATGTGGAAAATTGAAGAGCCCGTCTTTTGATCGAACCCGAAGGTAGACCCGTTCGGGTCTCAAAAAACGGGGACACCCCCCAAAAGAAGGAACCAATTCCTGGATTTCCGCGGGAGTAAGTGACCACATAGGGGAACCCTCCCAATGAGTTTGTTGGGTTTCTTTTTGGTTGTTTTTTTGTTCTTTGTTTAAACGGCTACCCTCTTGGGGCCTTAGACTCTCGCCTCGGCGGTGATGGAGTGCGCAAAGCTGGAACTCTCGGCTTTCTGCTGCAGGACCTCGTGCTGAACCTGCGGAAATCACGTCGACAGAAAGTCGGAAAGTCGGAACTTGAAAAGAAGCCGGGGAAACCAAGGGGAGCCGAAACCCATATTCGGGCCAAAATAATACTGTCCGAACCTCGCCAAGGCAAAAAAGGTCGACTCAAGTTGCTAGGTGATGTGTAAGTCACCACTGCAGATCGCGAAGCAAAGGATCTAACAGAAGAAGTGGTTTGGAAACCATGGTGATATCCACATCTAAGGACTCGAAAAGGGACCTCCGCCCAGAGTCCGCCCTTTCTGCGCCCACGGAGTACCCTCAAAAACTCAGCTTGGAGCTTAACAGAATCTGGAATATTTGGGCAATGGCCCTTGTGCATTGCGCACATGTCCTTTCCCCGCGTGCCGCGTGGGCTCGCCCTGCGCCATTCCCTTGCACAAAAGCCCCTGACCTGTTTTGGCGTTTGATGCAACACCGAAGACAAAACAAACCCGGGGTCGATGTACAGTGACGCCCTGAAACCGTTTATTCAAGGTGAACAAGAATTCTGGACCCTGACTGCGAACGAGCACGTGCACGGCAGCAGCAGCGCAGCGCACCTGATTGAGGGCAGGCCTACGGAGTTACAGCACGCTGCCATGAAGCGGCGGATGTACCTTGTATCTGGGGCAATCTAATCAGGTCACAAAAGCGCACTCGAACTCAAACTGGCAATCAAGGAAGGGGTTTGACCAACCCTCGGATGAAACGAATCCTGGGCGCAACCGTGGGCTGGCCCTTCTCGTGCCGGGGGAGATGCATAGCGCCCCGCCAAGACGCATCTTAGAGGCGACTGGGACTGATGGTCCTTAAACGTCATGCAGATGCAGGCTGCAACCTCAAGCCAAGAGATTTGTACGCTCTCAAGGGCTTGCTGTTGTTGGAGCCATGCAACAAAACTGGAAACAAAGGAGCTGCCTTACTCCACCACTGAAGAGGAAAGCCTTCGATCCACTGCCCACCATAGGTTGACGGGAATAGACGCATCATCAACTGAACGCACACAAAGTTCTCCGGCGTGAAGGGTGGACGTGCTGGTGGTCTTGTAGAGCCTGCCGGAGTTGTCGCTCAAAATGGCGGCAACAGACGCTCCTTAGAGACTTCGGAAAGGCAATCCAACGCAACACCGCCCAAGCACGTGGAGCATGGACTGCAGTCAGGGCTGGGCAGTGGCAGCACCGATGTTCATGTTCCACAGTGCCCAAAAGAATGTTGAGAAAGGACCACCTTTGACCACGTTGTACTTGCCGCGCAAGGAGCCGGAGATGGAGGCTCCTTCTCGGAGCGCGTTCACCAGCGCCCCATGGCCGGGAGGCGGGATTCTTGCCACAGAAAACAACGCCGACCTGCAAACCCTGGCGGTGTGAGACTCTCAGCAAAGGATCGCCACAGACCCAATTTTTCCCCATGAGGCGTTGCTCGAGAGGCCAGCCGAGCCCTGCCAAAACTAGAGCGCGAACTGTCTCTCAATCTGGTTGGATTGCGAGCATGTGGTGGCCTGAGCATCGACTGACACTTCCTGTGCGCTCATGCAGTTATGGACGCCGGTCGGATCCGGGAGTTGATGAGCTTAAGAAAGTGCAGCCCGCACTTTCCCAACCTCCGGCAGACACCTTGCTTTAAATTTCCTGAAGTGTGCCATTTTGCGTCCAGACTACCCCGTAGGCGTCTTCCGCGAGCTTGCTACTTGGGAACAAGGCTCAACGTACAACCTCTTGATCCCCAAAGCAGCTGTGTAGGCAATTGCGCGCTGGTGGGCCGAATCTGTGGGTGCGTAGAAGGTGCACAAAATCTTCCTGATACAAGAAAGCCCTAGATTGCGGCTATCAGTACGCTCTGACTGCAGACGGATGATGTCCCAGCATCGCAAGAGAGGGCAGCGACCTTTCGGGGGCGCTTCCCTCTGCCTACTTGCTTCAAACTTGGAATGCGTGGCTCAGCATTTTCCTCTTCCTCTTCAACAAGGGATGGCGCCTTGGTGCAAGCCACTCTACGTCGTGGGCCACCGGCGAGGGGTTCGTGAAGTCGAGAGGAGGTTTGCGCAGCTATGGTCATGCGCTCACCGGTTGCCCGTGTGGGTGTCGGTGGCGCCGGACGGTTGTGCGCTTCCGGCCACAGAGCAAGGCTGCCCAAGCGGCAATTCAAAAAGGACCATGTCGGCGCCCACGATCTGGGCTCTCCGTGACTCCCACCTCCGCCAGCCGCACTGTCGCGACTCCGATGAACTTCACGCCGCTCCTCAATACTTGGCCGACCCAGCGCTGGGAGGGAATCGGGCCGAAGCTGCTCCGCCGATTCGACCCCGTCCTTGCGAAAATATAACGGGTCTCCAAGCCTTTTTTTCAACCCTTCCCTGTTTTTTCAACCCTTAAACCCTCCCCCCTTCTTTTTTAACCCTCCCCCCTTCTTTCTGACCCTCCACCTCTTCCTTTTAACCCTCCATTTCTTTTTTGCCAACCCTGTGGCCGAAGTTTGCGGCAGCTGCACTGGTTTAGGAGTGGTTTTGGATTTAGGTTGGTTTAGGGTGGGTTCGGGCGGGCGGGGTAGGTGGGTTGAGGGTTGGTTTGGGATGGGAAGGGTGGATTTACGGTTTTGTTTAGGGTCGGTTTTGTGTTGGTTTAGGTTGGGCAACCTCGCATGTAAGGCTAGTTTAGGGTGGGATTAGGGTTTGTGTGGGAAGGGAAGGGGTAGGGTTTGTTGAAGGTGGGCTTAGGGTTGGTTTGGCATGGGAAGGCAAGTTTGTGGTCGGTTTAAGTTTAAGGTTGGTTTTGAGCAGGTCTGCGCTGGGTATATGGTGGGTTTAAAGTTGGACGCAGGTGGGTTTTGGGCTTGGAGAATGGGTCTACACTGGGTCTATGATTGGTTTAGGGTTGGTTTAGGATGGATTTAGGGCGGGTTTAGGGTGAGGTCAGGCTTGGGATTGATGTTAGGTTTACATGTTTTTTTAGGGTGGGATTAGGGCGTGTGTCGAAAGGCTTCAGGATTTAGGGTGGATTTGGTGTTGGCTTCGAATCTGTTTGAGGTGGGGTTGGCACGTAGATTTAGAGTAGGATTTCGGTGGGTTTGTGTTTGGTTTAGGTGGTCTGGAGGTGGCTGTTGGGTTGGCTTAGGGTTGGTGTAGGGCGGGTTTGCGGCTTGTCGGCGTCTAGGGCGGCGTCGGGGTTGCACTAGGGGAGGCTTGGGGTCGCTCAAGGTTGATTTGGGGTGGCTTGATTTCAGGTGGGCTTAGGGTGTTTAAGGGTGTGTTGTTCGTTTGTTTTGGGTTGGATGTAGGTTGGTTCAGGGTTGGTCTGGGTGGTTTAGGGTGGGGTTTGGGGTTTAGGCTTGGATGTGGGTTGGCTTCACTGGATTGAGGGCTGGGTCAAGCTCAGCTTAGAGTCTCAGAGCGCGCTTAGCGTTGGATCAGGGTGGGTTCTGGGCTCATGGGTTGGTTAAGGTTGCTTTGGAGTGGCTCAGGGTTGGTTGGGTTGGTGTTGGGCTGGCCATAGCATTGTTAGGGTGGGGATTTAGGGTTGTTTTTGGGTTTAGGGCGGGGGCAAGGTTGGTTTAGGGTTGGTTTTTGCTGGGCTCAAGTTTAAGGTTGGTTTTCGGGGTGGTTCGGGCTGGGTTTAGAGTGGGTTTAGGATTGGGTTAGGATTGGCTTAGGGTCGTTTTCGGGTTGGGGGTTGGCTTTGGGTCGGTGAATCTGTTCAGGGTTGGTTTAGGTTGGGCTTAATTAAGGTTGCATTAAGGCTAGATTAGGGTGGGATTGGGGCTTAGGCGGGTTTAGGGTGGGTTTAGTGCTGGCTTCGGCTAAGCTTGGTTTAGAGTTCGTGTAGAGTGGGTTTAGGGTGGGTGCAGGACTGGCTTGTTGGTTTAGGGTTGGTTTAGTTTGTTGGTTTAGGGTTGGTTTAGGGTCGTTTTGGGATTGGTTTAGTTTTAGGGTGGTTTCGAGTAGGTCTGTGGTGGTGTAGGGTGGGTGTAGCTTGGCTTGGGGTGGGTTTAGGGTTGGGCAAAAGATTGCTTAGGGCTCGTTTGGCTGGTTTGAGATTGACTTAGAGATACTGAGGGTTGGCAAGGTTTGACTTAGGGCGGGCCTAGGGTTTGTTTGGGTTGGGTTGGTGCGGGGCGGGCTTAGGCTGTTTTAGGTTTAGGGTGAGAAAAACAAGGTTGCGGGGTGAAACAAGCAAGCTTGCGGGTGAAAGAAACAAGGCGTGGAAAAAAAACAAGGTGAGGGGTTGAAAAGGATTTCTCAGGGTTGGAGATGCAAGGTTCCCGCCGACGGTTCCCAAGCAGGGTTTGAGGTTTGAAAAAAAAGGAAGGGTTAAAAAACAAGTTCGGAGGGTGAAACAAAAGGGAGCTCACATAAAACTCGGTTCCTTTCAATTTCGTGCGAACCAAACAAAACGGGGTCAATAAAAGAAAGCGCGGATTCGTGTGGGCCCCTTTCAGTTGCATCCTGACTGGCGATACTTTGGCGCCTGGGCATTCTCTGCCACCAGCACCTCAGGACTCAAGAGTCATGCGGGCCTGCAGGCGTCAGTTGGGCACCTCTCTCTCACAGGAAACAAACACGCCAAACAATGCCAAACAGGGACATGAAGTGGGTCCCAAAAAGATTCCCAACTTTTTTAGAGGTCCGGCCACCCACAAAAACGAAGTATCCAAGAAAGGGCTCAAAAATAGCTGGGACAGAGAAGAAGGGCAGCAACCAGAAAACAAGCGCCAAAGAATTTTGAATCCAGCTCCCCCGCCAATCTGCACCGTAAACCCTGATGACATGAACAAGGCAGCACGCTCTTTTTCTTAAGCTAGAACAATGGCAAGGCGGTCGGGTAGAACATGCTGCGCACACACTTGGCGATTCGTAAGAAACACTAATGCCTCCCAGTAGCATTCTTGACTCCCCCTCGGTTGTGGAAGGACCAAGTTTCGCACACTTTGGCGCATTCATCCTCACTTGAACATACTGCGGACAATCGCAAGCACTTCGCCCAGATCAGCGCGAGCGCCTAACAATCTGAATTCGCGACCCCACTTTTGCGTGGCAAGTGATTTTGTAAAGATGTCAGCAGCCTGCGGTTCGGTCTTCTTGTAGCGCGCTGCCGTTCCCCGGCGCCAGCTGCAGACATGCAAGGGCCAGCTTGCGCGTACGAGCTACGCCCCTCAACCTTGGCCCGACGAGCTAATAAGATCGCTGCTTGGTTCTCTTCATATTTGGTAAGGCAGATTTTGTGACCTAGGAGTAACTCGCAAAGACCCAGGGCAGGAAGCCCGTCGTAAAACGCAGTACGAGACGCTACGGCAGCGAGCGCGCGCTGAATATCAGCATCATGAAGAAGCTTGCCAGCGAAGGAACCTGCAATGTCCTTTAGGCGGTCGTGAGGCGCCATGGGAAAAAACCACGCTCATTCATGACTGCGCACCCACCGAATCCGGCGGATTCACTGCACTGGATCTGCGTCAATAGGCATTGGTTAACAAGATGGGAGCTTCTGAAAAAGAATTGCGAACGGATGAACACGTAGTCCACAATCTCGGGCCAAACTCAGCCCAGTCGCATTTGTACGCAGGCATTACAGGAGCAGAGCAGAAGCACATCAGGCTGGCTTAAGCCAGGACCACTTGCAAGAGCGTTCAGGGAGTTGGCTTTGGGGGTGGAGGTGGAGGATTTGGAAGAGCAATAAAGGAGCACCGAGGATGACTGGAGGAGCAATAGAGCATTGCTTTGGATAAAAGGACTGGAGAAGGAGGTGTGTGACTTGTACATTGGCAGCCCAACAAAAGCCCTAGAGGAGGACCAGAGATTGGCCCAGGTGGCCTGTCTTTGGTCGGATTTTAGGAGAAGAGGAGAGGCTCCAGTGCTGGAACACCCGTATGCTCTATTGGGCTTGGCAACTCTCAAGAGGCTTGATTGATGCACCCCTGGCGCACTCCCCGTCAAAAACCATCATATGGCCGGGCTTTCGGAGAATGAGTTGCTCTCTTGGATGTTTCTGTCCGTGCTTGAGAGGGTTTACTTCCATTTGCTTAAGCCCTGTGGACAAAAGAACCGTGTGCCCAGTAGTGAAATCGACTCCCTTTAAAACCAACACGGAAAATAAAAAAATGTTCTTAAGCAAATGGATGTTTATGAAGGAGCACTAGCTCAAGAGCTAGAGGAGCACAAGAGTGTCACTGGAGGACCACTACAAAAGCACTACAAAAGTGCTAGAGGGTCTCAAATAAACAAAACCACCCGAAAAACAAAAACCAACGGGGAAACACTTACGCCGTTCAAACACCGTCAACTGATATCTCAAAAGGTGACGCCACAAACTCCACCATTGGCCAATGTCCTCTCACTGTTTCGGGCCCGTCGGGCCCGTCAGGCCCGTCCAGCCCGTCAGGCCTGTCAGGCCTGTCAGGCCCATAACACGACCCTGTCCCCCACCCCAGAAGCCAAATCCCACCGGCTGCCAAAGCCCAGCTGCAAATCCCACCAGCACGGCCGTTTGCCAAAACTCGGAGTCCAAATATTACCAGCCCGTCCGCGCCCAATGAGTGCGCCCATCGCAGACTTTAACGGGAACCCACACACACAAACAAATAGACAAGTACATAATAGGTGCAACGAGAGACGCATGGACGAATAGGCAAGCGCGCGCAAAGGTAGCTTTGGGCAAGTCATCTGCGTGCGGGTCCGTGGCTTCTATCAGATCTGAACCTGTTTGCCCGTGCCGTTAGCATAGCCCTACGCATCTGCGCGTTTACCAACCCATTTGTTTAATCTAATCAGTTCTGACCCAACCTAATCTATATAATCAGTCCGTTTATCTGTTTGTCTGTTCTTTCGTCGGCCCGTCAGGCCCGTCAGGCCCGTCGGGCCCATGAAGCGTGAGCGGCCGGTCCCCGCCTAATGAACGTGACAGTAAGCAGATTCAGACCTGATATGAAGCCACGGACCCGCGTGCAAATGACTTGCCCAAAGCTAGCGTTCGTTTGTCTAGCTATCCACCTGTCTATTTGTTTATAATTGTTTTCTACTCGAACAATTTTGTGGCCGAACCAAACCTACTACATAATCTAGTCCTTTTATCTGTGCTTTTGCAATCTGATCGGTCTGTCTCCCTATCTCTCGGTCTCTATCCTGCTAGCCTTCCATCCACATGAGCAGCGGTTTTTAATCAAGTGAAAGGGTTTGTACAAAAAGGGAACTGCGTGTACTTGCGGAGGTAGGCTCGCGGCTTCTGCGCGTGGGCTGTTGCGTCAGCCCTTGCGTAGGCTTTTTGCGTAGGCGATTGAACAAATCATGGCTCAACGCTGTTTGCCAAGAATAGCGGAGTTAGCTTCTTTGCCTTCCTTCCGTTTGTTCTGCAGTCTTCGCGTAGGCTCCGCGTAGGCCCCACGTAGGCATTTGCGTAGGCTTTCAAGGCATGTTAGAGTACGTAGACCTTTCTAGCAGCCAGATCATTCAACAGATGTGGCTTCTCAATCGTGTTGCAAAGGTGATCTTGGAGCTGGAGCTGCCAAAGCTGCTCTTGCACTTAAAGTTGTGATTTTCCAGTTGGAGCTGCCAAACTGCGCTTCAACACTTGAACTCAACATCTGCCCTCGTAGGCGTCCGCGTAGGCGTGCAAGTAGTGTTTTGGCCCCGAACCACCAAAAAACCACTGTGAATCGGTCTATCTATCTAGCCATCTATCTCCATCTACCTACCCATCTTTCTTTCTGTCTACCTCTCCATTCTATCTATCTATCTATCTATCTATCTATCTATCTATCTATCTGTCTACGTCTCTCCTATCTATGAAAATCTCTATCTATTGTTGATCAAAGCCCGAAGCCTGTCAAGCCGTGAAGCCGTCAGGCCCGTCAGGCTTCACAGGCCCGGCAGCCGTCAGGCCCATCAGACCCGTCAGGCCCTTCAGGCCCGTCAAGCTCATCTGGCCCGCCAGCCGTCAGGCCGGCCCGTCAGGCCCTAGACCCGTCAGCTCATCTGGCCTATCAGGCTCGGCCTGTCAGGGGACTACCTGTCTTTCAGATAATACTCTGATTGACGATGTCGAGCTTGATAAGCCCATACGAAAATCGCAGGCGGATTCCCGGACCAATAGACATTCGGTCGGATTTTTGTTGCTTCCGGCCCGATGCAAAGGTTGTCAAGGCAAAGCCCTTGGCTACGTCAATTTCGTTGATGAACCTGAGGTTATCCCTGTCGAAAATACTCGACATCAACAGGAAGCAAGGGTGATCCAACATCAACGATCTCGCGCTCATCCGATTGAACCGGCTAGGCTTCGTCAGCCGCCGGAAGTCATCACTGCGCCAGAGGAAAATGCCAGAATCCTGGCTGAGACTACGCGCCAATTTGTACAGTTATACTCAGGTGAATACGCGCGGCCAGGTGATCAGGGAAAGCGTGCCAGTACAGGTGCCTGCTGCAGCTGGATTGCCCTTTCGATTTGCTCGAGATGCATGAGATCGCGACTCAGGAACAACGGCGCATCAGAACTGGACGCGTTCAGCACTCGTTGCAAACTGCCAACGGGGTTGCTGGGACGCAAGAGAGTCAGTGCAACTGTTGAATCGCGAAGACATTGAGGCTTTCGTTATGGGAAATACTCCTTTGATTGTCTCGATTGGGCGCAGATGCGTGGACTTCAGATGTATTTTCCGATGGGACGCATTCGAAGTGCCTGCTTTCATCTGCCCATCCGGGAGAACTATAAGACTCGACGTTCTTAACAACGTCACCTGCCAAAAGCGCCGTTTATGCATGTCCAGCAATACCGGCCATGCCCGGGCCTGCGCTTGCACTGACTGACTCAGTATATCCCGCTGCTCCCTCTGAGGCCGATGCGGGGGTGAGGTTGTAGAAATACAACACCCTGAGGGGTATAGGACCGAAGCCGAGTTGCGCGCCGAAGCTAAGACGCTTCAGCATATGATGACGCATCTACCAAAGAATCCTTTTTGCCCACATTGCCACAACGCGCAAAAATGGTCTATACCGTAAAGGCGGTGCAGATGCGCATGAATGCACGAAATTCGGCGGCATCGTGACCGCCAAAACCCGATGGTTCTACACGGTTTAAAGGACCGTGTAAATGGTGAAACCCCTGTGTTCAGCCGATCAGTACCCCGGAGCCCAAGATTGGTCTCTTGCACTCGGATCAAGCCAGAGAACTTCTTGCGGCAACTCGCCGAATGGCTTGGGTACACCACTGGATGCCGCAGACTAACAGCATCATCGAAAACAAGGTGAAGCTTGTCCTGCACGGAGCAAGTCCTCCTCAGACAAGCAGGCTTATCGCCCAAGTGGTGGCCCTTTGCCGTCCGCGCATTTTGCGCTGCTCGGAAGGTGGGGACTGCATGGGGAAGAAGAAATGATGACCGAGATGTTTCGTTGATTTCAAGTTTATCGTGCCTAAACCGTGAAAGGGGGGGAATCAAAAACGCGTCCAAACAGGAAAACGGCCTGGCAAACTTGCCAGAGTACATGTCGAGCCGAGAACTAAACTATTTAAGGCTGACAGTGTTGATGCTCAAACTGAGCGCCTTCGTCTCACTGCTGACCGCGACACGTGGGTCCAGTACGACGATGAAAACGGAGAACTGTTACACCCCGCGGACTGGAGGTACGGTCCTGACACCACTGCGGAGCTAAAAGCCCGTGGACCGGCGAGATATACTTCGCCGTGAAGCTCAAAGAATTTGATCCATTAGAAGACTCGGACTACGAGCCTGATGGATATGAAGAGCTGTTGAGGAGTCAGGGCTGTCCGATCACGGAGAAGACGAATACAGTAGCGTGCCGGCTATGCCAGCACAAAGGCGCCCAAATTCGGGCCAGCACCCGAGCCCGGAGGTCAGTGGAGAGCAACTACTACATTGCCGATCTTGAGCATTTCAGACTCGACCGTCAATCCCTGTAGAGGCGCCGTCAGGCCCGTCAGGCCCGTCAGGCCCGTCAGGCCCGTCAGGCTCAGGCCCGTCGGGTCCGGGCGTCTGGGTGTTCTGCAAATTTGACCATGGTCCGTTCGCCTCTTCCTCTATAATCTCCATGATGCTTGGAAGTCATCACATCGAAGCCGAATCTGATGTGTGCAGGAGTTCGGCGTTCAATCCTGTAAGCGCGCAGGTTGGCCAAGCCTTGCTCTTCCTGCCAACATCTCAAGAACGTGTAGGTCCCAATCCTTAACCGGCGTATGAAGGTTTTGAGAGGTCAGCAGCCGGTTGATTGGCGGGCTCTCAACGTCTTGGATTGCCCTTGTCCTTTGTCTTTTCCGTCTTCCATCAATGTACGATGGATAACCCTTGTTTCCACCGAAAGGATTCTGACACTTGATTTCCTTGTGTTCGCGCTTCCGCAAATGCAGTGGTTTTGGTTGCCTTCGTTGGCCAGGTGGGCCCTGCCGTCTTTTCTTCTTCCTGGTCTCAAATTTTGCCTTGACACCTTCCTGGCGGAAACCCTCCTTCTCTTCGCGCTCTCCTTGCTCGAATATGTAGAAGATGTTTGGACGTTTATCTCCGGTTGATCAAAGTGTTGGGTTTTGGATTGATGTTCTTGTCGTGATGAAGAGGTCATGACACTGCGCTTACAACATCTAGTTCTCAAGCTGGGTGTTCCTCAAAGACATTGCGCTGATTAGTGTTCTCTTTGTTGGTCTGTCAACTCACTCTGGTGGCTGATGAAAACCTGTGCAATGAGGTTGCCATTCCTGCTGTATATTGTCTCAATGTTTCCGGGTCAACTGGTTTCAGGAGGTGACTGCGCCGTTACGACGGGCATCAGGGTATTCCACGCTGATTTCAATCTTCTAAAACCGCTTGCCTAGTTGCACGCAGAGCATTGGCTATCTAGGAGCCAAAAAGATATTTTGATGACAACAGGCTTGGCAAACACGCAGAACGCCGCAAACTCAGCCATGAGGGGTGTGTTTCACCATACTCAATCTGCGTCTTGATTCTCTTGTAACGCGACACCCGCAAAGTCCAAGGTCAGATACACGCTCGCCGCCGGAGCAACCCGCCACGCGTGGGAAAGGTGAGCGAAGCTTACGCGGCCCCTCACATTCGTCTCGCAAAAAAGTTTATGGGGCTCGACACGGACGAAGGGAAAAAATCAAGTGACCGAGCGGCTTGAACGTCACCCAGAGATAGCTTTGGATCGGCAAGGGGAGGCAGGATTTGAGTAGCTCCGAGACTGTGAGGGATGGCGCCGCAAAGGTGTCACTCAACTCGCAAGAAACACGAGCCGAGAGCAACCAGATGTCGCGATCGACTTTGTGGCTTCGATCACAAGATATCAGTTGAACTGCTGACTTTATTTCACTATAGAGAATATGAAGAAAGCCAAGATCTGGACTTGTAAGCATAATCAGCATAATCCTTGAGGAGGCAATACCGCCGTGCAAAGCTTGCTCAGACATATCCTTTCTCGGTTTGTCAGGCACATAGTCTTCTTAGACTTTTTCAGGTGAAGATGAACACCTTTTGAGCCGTTCTCCGACAGACCGATGGGGAGTACAACATGACCAGCGCCAGCGCTCGTGTCAGCGTTCAGACTGACAGAAAGGCACAAGAAGATCCCACACAGGACGAACCGTCCATTTTGTGCTGACACAAAATTCTTGAGTCTTGTTGAAACGCTACGTTGGAAGACTCAGGGTTCTTCTTCAAAATCATCTGTGAGAATCTGTCTGCATGAGTGCCAGAAACGGTGAACTTCAGGGCAGATGTACGTTACATACCCTGTACTGATCCAAATAACCTGGCTACCGTTGCTCATCAACCAGAACAAAAAAGCCATGACGCACGCACGCACGCACGCACGCCCGCCCGCACGCCCCCGCACACACACACACACCCACACCCACACACACACAGCGAATTGTGACTTGATCCCTAATCCCGCATCGTCATTTGGCCATCTTAGTTTATGGTAGGGGCCTGCCGTCCATCCCCTCTTTTCGAGAGAAGTTTAACAGTGTTAGCAGGGCTCGGAGGGCACGAGCGGGAGAGACCGAGGAGGCGGTCCTGAGAGTGAATCCACGCCGGAGGCGGACGGAAGTTAAGGCTATGGAATCAAGGGCAGGGATCCGCCGCCAGCATCTTCTTCAGGTGCTTCGTCAGGAGAGCACGAGTGGCCAAACCCGCCTCCTCATAAGGAGAAGTTGAAAAGGGTTTTACGAGGAAGGCAAAGTCCAAGCCGAAACCTTCGTCAAGAACCGTGACCAATGCTCCTGACATTGCAACTGTGATTTCAGGGGTAATCTTCAATGAGAAAGACTTCAGCCAGAACAGATTCGAGAGGCCTGAGTGCAACCCTCGTGATTCCCGGCGCCAAAGAAGCATTCACAACCGTTTCGTGGATGTCACCAAGTATATCCTGTCCGGCAACATGTCCGACATGTCATTCACAGGTTTCAAGCGTGGCCTTTCGCGCCTTCAGTTCTGCAAATTTAGTTCCTGACAACCAAGGACGACACCACGCTGGAGAAGATGCGGGGTCTACATGGCGCCTATCAAGAAAGAAAGCGGCAATGGAAACTGCAAGTTGCCCGTCAAGCCAGTTGGCAAGTTCGTGTAGCAGATTCCACGTCTTCCGGACCATATGTCAAGGGGTTAACCCACAGAATCAACAATGTCATGCTGCTTTAGCAAGCACTACAACTCCAGCGAGAACGTGAAGGAGACGGCAAGAAACAAGATCTTTTCCTCAGACAGCCCTCCACCACTTCCGAGAATCTCGCCGGGACCAAGCTCTTCCTTAGGACCACGTGGTTTGGCAGGTGTACCACTTTCAGCGCTCTTTCCGAAGCCATGCCAGCCCAAGCTGTTTCACGCTGCGGAGGTTCTGGTGGCTAGTCATCCTTCGTGATGATGATGCTGGTATTGAAGGTTTCGCAGCCCTTGGGCTGTCTTTGTTCTTCTTGCGCTTTTTGTTTGATGCGCCTTCTTCTAAAGTTTCATCATCGTCATCGTGCGGCACGTTGTTCCGGTTGAGGCGGGGGGCGCGACAACAGTCGGCCGAATAGGAGGCTTTGAAACATCGCCCCCAGCCGTGTGACTTCACGTGACGAGGACATTGGCTGTGGGGCCAATGTGGAAGTTGGTTGTGATTCGTGGAAGTCACGCAGGCGCATCAAAAACAGAATGTCTGGGTGTGGCGGTTGGGGCGGTTGCGACGCTTGTGGCGCTTGTGGCATGTCCTGATCTGGTGGATCAGGTGGGCCCGTCGGATTTTTGCCACAGACGCCGTGAACGACAAGTTGGTCGGTTGGCATCGACCGAATCATGGGCGCTTCTTTGTTGGACATGCAGGTTTGTGAAAACACAAGCGCGTGCCAGCGTAAAGGGTTGTAGTTGTTCCAGTCACGCTGGCGCACATCAGGATCTCATCGGAGCGCGCTGCATCCAAAAGATCCATCCTCGAAGCATCACAGAGATAGATCCAAGAGCACGCTTGAGACCGACGCTTATTAGGGAGAGACACACAAATTGCTCAACAATAATACGCCCCTTGTTGGGGGAGAAAGACGGGCATCGCTTCCCTGTCCGAGAACCCGAACATTTTCGAAGGACAGACCCAGCGCGTTTTCTCACCATGATTCTAGGAACCATCAATTCTTGGAATTGATGCAACCAAGACGCGGTTGTAAAATACTGCGCACATAGCTGTAAACCTTCCGGAACTCCAATGCGCTACCACTGCATTTTCCGCATCTTCAGGCTGTTGAGCCGAATGATGGAAAATCACTCCACGGCATGATTTCTTACAGGAACTGGTATTTGCATATGTGTTTATTGAAAATAGATATTGAAAGTACCTGTGAAGGTGCGTATTCCAGTTCCCCGCCCGGGACCTCATAGGTCCCGAAAAGGGATCTATTCCGGTGAGGCGCCAAGTGCATATGATGACGGAAAAGCCCAAGGATGTATTGTCTATGACGGTTGTCCAACATTCCTTGTTCCAAAAAACGGCCTTCCGCCTTGCCCTTCTGCGAATCTTCTGCGACGCTTCCGCGACGCAGTTCAAAAACATGCGTATGTTTCTGTACGGATGTGCTCTGTGCTTTTTTGTACGATTTAAGACAAGAGCAAACCCTGTCTTTAGTCAAACCTTGCCTAGAAGCACCTCCAAGCCTCCGGCCCGACACAGGCCATTGGACAAGGCCTCGTCAGACCTGCGCCATCGACGACGAGTTCGCTTGCGAACGCTTGACGCAACGCACTCTGAGAAAACAAGCAGCCACCTTAATGATGGTCAAAATCTATGCTTAGGGCTATCCCCTGACCTCTATGTGGATGTTGATTGCCGCTGGTTGAAAAACGGCGTCAATCGAGCGAAAGGCGTCACATCGACAAGACAGCCAACCCAGCTCGAGAGGAATAACCCATCGCTGTCAGGGACCTTTGTTGAGATGGTTGGAGGGAAGCCGTTTTGCATTTGCAGGAAAATTTTGAGGATTCACCATATGAGGTCTCATTTTCCAGTCTCTTCGGGCGCACGCATCTGCACTGAGGTGCGTCTCAACGACCTGCCCAGCATTCGGACGAGAGCTGGCGACGTTACTCAACACAGCCTATCTGCACTAAGCTCACCGTGATTCCGAGGATAGTTGAACACCGCCTATCTTCATTCCGCTCTAGGCCTGGAATCAGTGAAATACAGCTGGTCCAACCCACATGGGATCGCGCGTTGCGCGCCGGCCACGAAACTCCAACTGACCACATTCTGGATATCCCGTTCCAAAGCTTCAACTCACTGGTGGCATGAAGCTGCCATTGGAGATAAGAACAGTTCAACAACATCATGTAAAATAACATATGCAACATTGCCAGCATGATGAGTTGTTCATCTCCATTGTTTGTTCAATGTCTTGTTGTTCCTTGCGGGGATGTCCAAGCCCAGCAAAGGTCACAATTTAGGCAAACAGCGCGCATCCAACGAGTCAGTACACCAACTGGGAAGAGAGGCGACACGCGCCCTTCCCGCGGGCGACCCCTGCTGCGAGGCTTTGAGCAACCCTACGCCTAGAACTTCGCCCTTTGTGTTTGACTGTGTTGGGTTTTGTTCATGTTTGCAGCAGGTTGAGCGGGGGCTGCCACAAGGGAGAAACAAGGGACCAGTCAAGCAGGCGAGCGCGTCACAAGCTACTGCACACATCTTCAGAGACCGTTCAGCAGGACTTTGACTGTGTGGTCTACCCCTTTTGCTGTCAAAAATACATTGTTCCCCAATCTATGCATCGACCTTGCTCGTGATGCCACTGGTAGAGCTGGTGATGCTAGTGGTGTTGCTGGATGCTGGGAAACCCAAACAAAACAATAGCGAGCAAAAGCCGCCGAAGCCACACAAGCCACAAGAAACAACATCGCCCTGGAAAAACACATCCTCACTCTTCAAGCACCTTCAGGCGCCGGTTCTTCCCAACGTCCAGCACTGCTCGTGGAGCACTGCCTGGGCAAAGCATTGAAAGATCAAACAATCCCGCCCCCCACTAGCTCAAAGCCTGGTCCTCTAGACCAACCCTCGGAGCGAAGCGCTGTAAAAACGCAGGGTTTTCCACGCTAGCGCAGCTGCTCTGCGTGGCAGCTGGCTGAGCGCCTGCTGCGAGCAAAAACGCAAAGCAGCCTGCACAAGCAAAACGTAGCTAGATCCGCGGAAGCCTGCTTGGCTAAAAGCCTTAAGGCGCTAAGGCGCTAAAACCAGACCTTACCCCCAAGCAAACGCGCGTCGCGCCACATTGCCTGCCCCTCGCGCAGGGCCGCTTAAGCTGGGCCCCCCTCCAGTGTTGCTGCTGCTGCTGATGGGACTGGTGTCACGCTTCTTTTTTCTGCGAGCTCGCATCTAGCAGCTATGAAATTGAGCTGCCGCGGCCGGCCCGGCCCGTCCGGGGGAGCAAGGCTCCAGCCATCCGATGCTGCTGACACGTGTTTGTGGAGAATTGGCTGGAGGCTCCGCGAAGCGAAGACTAACATGATGAGCATCACCTGCATCATCTGCTGGCGGGCGGGGCTTGTTTCTGGGTTTGTTTTTTGGTCTGCAGGCTTGGGTCTTGGTTCTGCGGGCTCGCCCCGCGCCTTCCGAACTTCAGCCTGCGCACGCAAGCGTGGCCCAGAGCTTCAACGCAATGCAGCCAGACTCCACACTTGCGCAAAAGCGTGCGAAGGCGGTTCTGTCCGCAGAAGCGCTTCGCGGATGAGTTATTGCGTCGCCAAACCCTAACCTCGCGGACAAGCGTGTCGCGCGACACAGTTCCGCAAACACGCGCGCGCAGAGCCGTCCATAAAGGCGCTGCCTGCTTGGCTTTGATCATCTCAACAAGCAAGAGCTGGCGGATATGGAGCTCTGCGTCGCGGTGCTGCCGCGGCCGGTTGTGCGCCATCAATGTTGACGCAAACTCAATGAGCAACCGAAGCTTGATGTGTAGGTGTCGTTCCTTTTGCTGGAAGCGCGTTGTTATGAAGAATTCATATTGCCGCACAAAGAACTTGCTCCTGGGCATGCTGGACACGGCAGCACTTTGCATGGGCCAAGACTTGCGGCAAAAGCAAAGGGAAACCACACGATTGGGACATTGCACAAGCAAAGAAGACCATATCTCTCGCTCGCTCTCCCTCTCTCTCTCTCTCTCTCTCTCTCTCACTGAGACAACTGCTTGGCCCTGTGCTCACAAATACCTGAGCTGCCATTAGCACCCCTGGTCGGGTCATGATGATGGATCCAAGGAGCTGTTTGGACCACACAACCCCAGTTTTCTGCCTGCAGATGCAGAGACTGAACGCGGCTTTGTTGTCGGCAGCCATGCAGATTTTCCATGGGGATTGCGATGGCGCTGCTGAGGAATTCTCAAGTCACCCACCAGTTAAATAGAGAGTGTGTTACACTCGTTGACATCTCACAGTCATGTTCTTAAACATGTGCCACGATTTCTGTCAAGGCCACCCAATAGGTGTTCACGCGTGCAACGCGAGGTTGCGAGAAGGGGGCGACGCGCAGTGTTTCTTGAAATTTCTCCTGGAGGTTAGATCTACACTTGGCCTTCTGGTCTTTGCGAGGGCCATGAAGTGTAACCCTTTCAGGCCGCAACCCGGAGGCGTTGTGTGGCAAACTGTTGCCAATCAATCTGAAACAATAGATGCTGGTCACGCCACGCACCACTCAAAGTGCCCACACACTTCCAGAATGTTCTCAAAGCATCGGTAATTGGCACACTTTCCTTCCTTCCAGGATTCAGCTGTCCGGGTGACTGAGGTCCAACAAGTTCCAGGGTCAGCTCTGGCATCTCGTCCGCCTGCGATTGGCAAACACATAAGCTGCCACAACCTCGAAGGATGGCGCGCTGAGAAAGCATTGTAAACCAGGCGGATGCTTGCCGACTCTTCTCAGGGGAGCCCGCGCCTCCGGCAACAACACGCAGGCCGCGTCTCGGAAGGAGGCCTGCCAATCCGGGCCCGCTTTTGGGAGGTTCCAAGCTCCAAGCTCCACCAAAACGTCCTAGTTAAAACCAGACACTCAATCCTGGCGCTTGTTCAGGGGCAAGGCAGAAGGCAAAGGTAGAAGGCAAAATCCGAAGAACCTCCCAGCGGATGAACACACATTGTCGCGCCAATCCAACCACACCAAAGCCGGTGAAGCTGGGGGGGTGAGACACAATGTCAGGGGCACTGTATCCGCGCAGGGAGCAGGTACCTTGTGGTGGTAGAGAATGTGTTGGTAGGTCCCTGGATCTATTCTGCAAGAGAGTCCAATATGCCAATAGTGGAGGAACTGAGAATGGAAGTCCCTCCTGGTCCTGATAATGTGTGGTTTATATCCGCAAGGCGCTCTGCTAGATCCTTTTGTAATGGCTGCAGGATGAATGCAACTATACTACAAGATAGGGCCTTGAGCCAAGTAGCATTGTGTGGTGCAGGATCAATTGCGAAGCAAAAGCAACACAAAAACAGACACAATTTCTTTTGACCCTGAACACCAAAATGGTATTCTTGGCTTCCTTTAGCCGTAGCCATACTTATGGTGCGCTTGCCGTAGCCATATCGAAAATTAAACCATCCTATTGTTGTCGCGGAGGAAATGTCTTGTTGGCAGAATGGAAGGTGCTTTGTACTGCTTGGACGAGATACCTAGCTGTATCTAAAACGGAAATGTGAGAAACACTTTGTACACGCGAAATTGTGTGAAACTATTGATCACTCACGAGCATAGTCTTGATGTGCAGGACCAGCAATGGGGTATGAGAGTCGGAGTCGCATGGTCCAAGCATCAGCATCTCATTGTTGATGTGCTTGTAGCGCTCGGCGGAAGTGACCTTGTAGTCGAAGATGACCTTGTCAACATCTGCTATCATGGAATCCATCGTATCTTGATCGAGCTTGGAGATCTCGAATTTGCGGAATTCTTGTTGGATGTCAGTCTTTCCCCAACTGAACACGAAAGTCATCATGCAATCCGGAAACGTTCTGTCAAATCCTGAACCTTCCTTCATGCGAAGATGGTGACGAGCAATGGATTTAATTGCGCAAGAGGTCGACATGGTGAAATTCATTCGCTCCGCCAATGGCATGTCTTGTGTGCCATTCCAGAGGTTCTTGAACTTTTCCATAATGTAGTTCATGAGGCCGTGTTCAGAATTGTAAACGGATTGTAGCTTACTAAACGTATTTGCGGACTTGTTGGCGTCGCCTGTGATCGCATCGCAGTGGTACTCCGTGACGAGCGGCATGATGCCTTTCTGTATGTCGTCTTTTGCTGCACCACGGCTGACGTTCGGATGAATATGGAAAACTCCAATGGTGGCAAATGGAAGGTCAGCTCTTGTGACATGGCGGGAGTCGTAGGAGAGAACAGGGCTCTGAGTGGATTTTGGAAATGTTCCACGCATCTCATTGTTCTGCTCAATGTGGATGACGACAATCTCGCTGTTCTTGCCATGCCATTGTACGGCGGTGCACGGTGGCAGTCTCTGTCCAAAATACTTCTCCTGGTTGAGGAACATGGATGTTCCGGTGGATGCCAAACACCCGGGTGTTGGAGTATCATAGTCCGGATCATTGCAACCGTCTTCGAGCCCTAAGAAGCATCTGAACATTCCGAATGTTGTGCTCCAGAATTGGCTCTTCGTTGAAATGTAACGTGCCAACAGTTCGACTCTGGCGTGTTTCCCACCTCGGACAAAGCATGCGATGGACTTGGATGACCAAAGCTTGACGACGCTGCCCTTGTATCCGCATTTTATGAACAGCTTGATGAGATCGAGGGTCGTACCTTCATCTGGGTAGAGGAACACGTCCGCCTCGTTGATGCAGAGGATATGTGCACTGTTCTGCATCATCTGCATGATGAGCGGTCGGTGCTTGATTGGCCATGACTTGAGTTCTCGACTATCCAGCTTCGGACTCCTTGTGAGGTTCCCGTGAACTCCTTGTGAGGTTCCCGTGATTCACGGTCAGGATGTTGAGTGCAATGCTGGATGGATAGTCTTTCCTCTGGAGGTAGTCGACAACTTGGCCATCAGATCCTTGCGTCAGGGATCCCAGAATGGTCGTGAATGACTTGACGAGCTCGGGATCGTGATAGTTCTTCAACTTCTTGAGTCCGATCGGAAGTCGCAGTGGGTACCCCGAAGGGTTCTGCGCTGCTCTGAACTCTTCCATGGTCGGATGTTCACTTGCGTGCTCAAAGTAGAACTCATCTTCATCGAGGTTCTCATCTGGATTCACGTGCGCCAAGGATCTCAATTGGCACTGAGTAAGGTCTTCTTTGGATCCATGTGGTACCTCTCCATGAAATCCGTGAATGCTTGCTTGATATCGTCGAGCTCTTTTGCAGCATCGGCCTTGGACATTCCCCGGCCCAAATAGATGTCCTGAAATTCCTGATTGAATTCACTGGGAGGTTCCACAATGATCTTGACCTTGACTTTGACGGATCGATCTTCTCTTGTGCTCATGCTTTCCTCCTCATGGTCTGTCGAACGCCGTCTTTTCTTGGTCTCGCTGGATTGCTCTATATCGGGTCGATAGTTGTCGCGCTTGTCGTGGGAGATGCCCTTGTCAATGTGCTTGAAGAAGTGCTCAGCAAACTCCTGGATCTTGGATTCACATTGTTCTCGGTCGTCATGGTCGAGATTATTCTTCATGATCCAGTGGCTGTGCATCAGAGGCAGTCCATCGGTATCGAATGCTGCGATGATGCTGCATGAATCGATGGTGTGTTCTGACAGGGCAGTTCTTTCTTCCGTGATTCGGACGTTGTACTGGTTGTCTTGTGTGAATGCAAGGATCAACAATGCATCGCGTCCCTTATCAGGACATGGGTCAGCGCTGCGTCTGATTCCTGATCATCGTAGATGATATCGTCGATGCATGCCATGTGAACGTGTTGTCTTCCCCGAGGGGTGCTAGTTCGTCCTGGCTTGATTCCTTGCTGCATGATTTTCTCGATCTGAGTTTTCAAGGTGGTATGGAACATGAATGCGACCGCCTTCTTCCTGAACGGAACGATCTTCCTGTCCTGCTTGATGGATTTCGGCGCTGCCGTGCTCTCATCTTCATGGTCCTGATCACGAGGCTTGGATGCATTGGGCAAGTCGTATGATGGCTCTTCCCAGGTGTTCTTCCACAAGGGTCTCCCAATGGTTTCCAGCTCAGCATATCGTGAGTGACCACTGACGCATCTCACATACAGCTCCATGCTGTCGTCGTTGTAGAATGATTTGCCATCAGGCCTAAGTGCACGGAATGCTGCCTTGGATGTGAGGTTGTCAATCCCTCTAGGGACAATAGCGTTCGGCACGATCCATCAAACTTCGGACACACAAACGCTATCTCGAATCTGGATTTTCCAAAGGATGGAAGCATTGTCATCAGGAATATGCCTGGTATGGTGCCAAGGAAGTTTCGCGCATGGGTGATTGCACACAATGCCTCATACAGTTCGCATGATCCATCCAGGTTGAATTGATAGCCCTCTTCAATTCTTGTCCTTGATGGTGTCGAAGGCATTCAGAAAACAGTCTGCTCACTCTCTCCACTCTCCAAAGGATGAAGTGGACAATGGGCTTCGCAAAGGACTGATCCATTGAGTAATTTATGCAGATGGATTCGGCATTGGTGATGGTCTTCTCCATGTCGATCTGCCCGTTGTGGGTTACCATTGGTGTGACATCAGTGCTGAAACTCGTGGGATCGTCGTTGATCAGGCAACACATACCGTAGATCTTCTTGATGTAGGCCATGTACGCATTCTCGCCCTGGGTGTCCTCTCCACGAATGGTAGGTTCCCACAGGTCATTGAACTTGGTCTTCAACCAGCATGGCTTGTCACGGGGCCCTTGCAGATGTTCTGGAACACAGTTGAATTCTGGATGTTTCTCTTGGATGGTGTGGAACTCACGGCAGTACTGCTTCACAATGCTCTCGCTTTGGATGGGTGAGCCCTTGAGTGGAGAAGCTCGTCTCTTTCCGGCCGGCTTCGGAGTGGATGGCTTTGACTTGCTGATTCCGAAAAGGCTTGCGAGGAGCGGCATGTCGTTGTCAGTCGGAAAAAGCATACACGATCGCAACGGTCGAATGGGTTGTAAACCAAACTGGCCGCGGATGCAGACACATATTCAAGAAAGGTCACATGCAAAATACTCACCACGGCATTGAGGAATTGAAAACCACCAAAATGGAAAAATTCATGCATTGAAAATTCATGGACATGTGGATCATGCCCAAGTTCCCCAATAAGCAAACATGGATTCTGCTATCCCGACTCCTGCGAATGCAGTTGGATCGGGTCCGTGCTTCGTGTTGCGCGCTAGCCATTCAACCCAAAATGCCTTGTCTGCAACATGGTGCGGAAGGGTGGATGAGC